AGGAAGGCACTTAACTCTAACTAAACATGTGATGAAGGCTAAAGATTTTCTTGTCTTTTTTTCAGGTGGAATACAGTGAAGGAAGGTAAAATTTCCAGGGCTCCAGTGTTGGATTTTGGAGATGGCTACTACGTTAATGTCAGCAAAAAGTAGAATGAATTTGTTGTGGCTAACAATTGTCTATAAACAGGAGAAAGATCCTGTATTGTGTAATTCTGTTGCGTCGGAGTCAAACTTTTTTTTTTTATAAGACCTAGTACCTTATGGTTTATACAACTATATAATTGAAAAAATTAATAAAAGTTTGGTTGAGTTAGTACTTATAAAATTTTAAGATCTTAATTTGAGATTAAGAGTAAAGATTTAAATTCCTGTATCACCAACTAGCAAAACCTCTTATACACTAAAAGAATTATATAATTGAAAAAAAAAATAGCATGGTTTATGTCATAAACTGGATTTTGCAAGGAGATAAACTTTTTTTTTTTTTGATAAAACAACTAATAAACTTTTAAATTTGATAATTTCATCATTTTTTATATATTTTTATAATATATTTGACATAAATTCAGAATTTGACACTAATAGAATATACAAATGTAACATTTAAACCAAAAACAATCTTAGAATCTGAGTCCTGAGAACAGATAACATCACTGGAGGAAGAGGATCGATTCATTCTTTCCTCCACACATGTTTAATTATTAATCCCTACACACCCACAGGATTGGTTCACACTAATAAGCTATAGATTTAGAGCAAGAAAGAGACAGAATCACAATCATTGGAAACAATCTGGAATTGGAAACTAATACAGGTCAACACTTTATTTCCATCATCAACAACCTCCACGTCAAGAAGGTACCAGCCCTGCAAAACCAACAACACATAAGTTTTTTGGTGAAAATTATATATTTATGTTTCAATACAAAGTTTGTATTCAACTTAAAATAATTGACAATACAAGTGGAATAACTCTTCTTATATTTAACCTATATTTTCCTTCATTATATTTTTAATGTCGGATTTTTCCACTCAAGAAGTATGATACCGAACCAAGTGAAACTTACAAATTCAAAAAATGAAAGAAGAATTAGGATGGGAGAGAACACAAAATACCCTCCAACGGGGCAGGATACCTTGTCACAAACATCATACATGTGCCAAATGAATCCTGGTTCAAGTTTAATCCTCACAGTTCCACCATTGAAGGTATGGTCTGGAAATCTACAGATCGCATGCAATCTTAGTTTGACGTCTAGATATACGTACTTATACAGTTATACATGTGTCAACTTGTAGGAAACAAAACTGTCAGAAAAATTGGAGTTCCTAACTAGTAGAAGCTGAGATGGAAACGGTGGCTGTCCGTCCTTGGGGCACAGGATTAGGAGAGAAGTCCACGCTCTGAACCTTTATTGTATATTCTGTGTCATCTGATGAATTAATTTATGACGATGATCAACACAAATACTATAATAATAAGGGAATTAAAATTTTAACAAATAGTTAATATATTCAATATTCATGTATATAATAATTCAACAAAAAGAAACAAAAGAAGAGGAAATTAACTGACCATCACAATAGAAGTACCGAGTTTCATCAGCAGTGGCTTCAACAGAAGATAAGAGGATTAAACAGAAAGCGAAGATGGGCAAAGGGGTGAGTTTCAACCGAGGAGCTTTCGACTCTCTCCATATTATACTACTGCACCGCACTGCATTGCAGAGATTTGTCAAAGATAAACTCCTATCTGTACTTTATTTAACTTAGTAAATTCCTCTTGAACGGCCCGCTCCTGTCAGTATTATTGAATTTGGATTAAGACTGTTCACCTTTTATGGATTGCATATTCAAACTCTACGAAATCTTTTTCTTCTCTCTCTCAATTATCCTTGTAAATAATTACAAATTCTTCAAAAAAAAAAACTTAGTAAATTCCTCTTTAATTGAAATATAATATAATTAATTACAATAAAAAATAATTAATTATATTTATAATGCAATTAATTATAAAATTAAATAATTATATTAATATAATTAATTTTTTTATAATCAATTATATTACTTTATAAAAAAAATACCAAAATAATTAATAATTTTTTTAATCAATTATATTATATCTCAATTTTTGTGTTAAAAAATTTATTTTCTTTTTAGTTCGCTACCTTGTATTCTTTTTGGACATTTGGAGAAACCAACCAGCCCTAAAGGATTTTACACCTTCAGGGGTTATACCTAACATCATCGGAGCTGCTGTGAAACACACAATCTTTCCCCACAACAAAATTTAGACGAGCAAGGGCATAAGAAAAGCGTCACATTAATTTGGTAAGGTTGTTCATCACATCAGATTCTTTAGGGAATATCACAAACAACAAGATGAAGACTCTTATTAAGGATTGATATAGATCCATTCTTTCATGGGACTTGGATCAATACAATAAAAGAGTACATAGACCTGTAGAAATAAGACATCAATTGATTCCATCTGTGCCGGTGTGTGGATGAAGATACGTGGCACGATCCATAGCTTAGCTATCAGAGACAGAAGATCCAAGACCAATTTTGAAACTGAAGCTAATACAAGTCAGCTGTTGGTTTCTTTCATCCTCCAATGTCATCTTAAGAGTGTATAATCCCTGCAAAGGCAGCACACAGAATCAGCAGAGTCTTTCGATAAATTGCATTCAAGGTGGTAGGTGATTGTGTTGTAACTAATTATCAATTATCAAAACCACAAGACAAAGTGATCAAAAGAAAACACTTCTACATCCTAGAATCAAAGAAGCCAAGGAGTATCATGGTAAAAGCATAACTTACAGGTGGGGTGAATCCTGGTAAAGTCTGAGTGTGAGAGAGCACAAAGTCACCTACAGCAATGGGGCAGGATGCCTCCTCACATAGATCATGTGTTTCCTTATGGACATGTACTCCAAAGTAGGAAACATCAATCACCAGTTTTCCACTTGAGATGGCTTGATCTGCAAAATAATAGAATGCAAGCTCTGATGACAAGCCAAAAAATGACCAATGATGTATGAACAAGAACAAAAGCAATATCATAGATAAATTTGTATTAGTTACAGAGTAGGAAATGCATGGTGGAACCAAGGAACTTCTGAATTCCATGAATCTCCGTTTAAACTACTAAATCAGTAATCTGTCTGTTTCTTTAGCCAAGCATATTTTAGAGATATAACCATGTGATCGCCAAAGTCAACTTGGAATTAGCTTGATCAGAGTACAATCCATTTAAGGTTTAAAACTTATTTAGTCACTCTAACCATGGCAATTGGTTGATGCACTTTCAACTAAGGCTAGCTGCTAATCATTTTTCTGGAAAGGTCAACTATTCGTACAATCAAATGCAATTAAGAAAATTTATTCCATGTCAGACAAACATAAAACACATATGGATGCTTGAGAATGGATCATATCATATGCACACTTCAGCTGTTCAGATTCACCCAAAATTCAATTATTTAATGTTTTCCGCCTTCCATTGGAGATAACATACTTATAGTAACATGGCAGCACTTGAACAAAGCATCATACCAACAAGCAAGAAACCAAGAAAAGGAATCCTTATTCCACTCTTTTCCCCCCATTTTTTTTGGAGTAGAGAACAGGATCCAGTAAATGCTAGATTCATCTCATACACCCTCTCAGGGGATATGCAACCAAATACCATAAAATAACCAAATAACTAAGATTGATTCTTAGTCTTAGGTCAGATTATGTAAAGCCAGATCGCTTGATGACAGGAGAAGTTATTTGCACAAGCATGAAAAAAAAAAATTATATATATATATATGGACCTTTTATCATCTCAAGGTTTGTGCTAACCAAAACCATATCCTTTTCCAGTCTGGGAATTGAGATAGATACAGTATACTAGAACAATCACCGCTCTGTTTCCATTAAAGGACACAAATTTAAGGATTTAACTGATAAACTTCAATCAGGTTTCCAGATTCTTAGGATTACAAACTGATGAAAATAAGTATCACAATCCATGTAACTACCATCAGGGATTCAGAGGAAAAAGGGATTTTAAAGGATCAACGGAGAAAGATAAACCATCTATGTTCCAAAAATCAGAAACCAAATCACTATATTGAACCATCAAAAATGGGTATGAAGATACCTGCAGAAGCCGAGATGGTGAAGGTAGCGGGATTGCCTGACACCACGGGATCAGGTGATATGTCTACACCGTGAACCTTAACTGGATAAAATTTCCTATCTAAATTCAAGAAAAATTAGAAGCCATTACTTATATATAACCAACCATATTCATAAACTAGAAATTTCCCACAGAAAAGAAAAAAAAAAAAAAGAATTTTTCATAAAAAGCCTTTCCAAATAACAACAAAATCTTTCTAGGGTACCCATCATCTGAAATTTCCTAAATAATATGGAGAAAATGAAGAAGAAGACGAAGAAGAAGAAGAAACAGACCGCAGTATCTGACACTTGTGGCTTGAAGAAGAGGTAATAAAATCAATGAAATAGCGAAGAAGGGCAAAAGGGTCGTCTTCAAATGAACCGCTACTTTCTCCATGGATGAAGCTTGGTGATCTGATCTGATCCTGATGAGGCTCCTAATTTCTACGCGCCGACTCTGGATATGGACAATGGGAATGAACTCGCCTTTATGTGCATTAAGGCAGTACGAGACAAGATCAATAATTACATTCTTTTTTCCATAATTTCCTTCTGTCAAATAAATAAATAAA